CGCTCTTCCCCATCAGGTTGCCCAAGAAAAGAATTGCATAAGTGACAAGAGGAAAATGATTGTGCAATGGGAATGAACAGAAAGCAGAAGAGAGTAAATTCTGCCGTCAAAACCTGTGAGTAATCTCTTGATGACAGGAAACTCGCTTTATATTAATATCACCACTTAAAAACTGAGAATAAGCAATAAGAGCATTTCAGAGAATTGTCAGATAGGGGAATCATAGAGGAGATTAAATTGCTCATTAAGTGAAGAGAGAAATCTTTTAATGCCCTTCTCCAGATTTCACCTCTTTTACGTTATGTATAAGACTCATGTCCTGATAATGGGATCTTTTTGGCTAATACATATATATTTCTTCACTGGCATACAAAGAACTCCCTTTTGTTTAAAAAAAAAAAATTCCAAATCAATCTCATTACCACACACATGCGTGCGCGCGCACACACACACACACACACACACACGAAAACAGGCTCAGGATTCTAAACCCTATGACTTCTGACTTCCCTTTGGCCTTTTCCATAAAATCACAAGTTGTTTTTTCCATCTTTTCATTCTTCTCATTCTTATCTCCAATATCCTGATGCTGTTCATTTACACTTCTTTGTTTCTTTGACCTCCATTCTGCAATTTACTCTTTTCTGTCAAATAAACAAGTCACTCCTATTGAAATTCTTTCAGCTTTGCATTTCATCACACTTATTACCAACTTCTTATTTTTGAAGTGTCTGTCCCTGTAGAACAGAGAAATTGTGAGTATTTTCTATCATCATAATAATTAACGTAAACACAGTTGACCCTTGAACGACACATGGATTAAGGGCACCACCCCTCCCCAAAGTCAAAAATCCCCATATAACTTAGAGTTGGGCCTCTGTATCTCAGTTCTTCCATATCCACAGTTTGGAATCCATGGATTCAACCAACAGAAGGTCGTGTAGTACTGTAGTCACTTTTGAAAAACAACCGTGTATAAGTGGACCTGTGCCGTTCAAACCCGTGTTGTTCAAGGGTCAGCTGTACTAATGATTAGTCACTGAATGGTTACCAAAAGTCTTAGTGCACATTCAAATTATCTTCAGTGACTTCTGAAAACCTTTTACAATATATTAATAAAAGCCCAACAAATCGCGAGTCTCTCCAATTTTTCCCACTTCCAGTCTTAGTTGATGAGAATGTAAATATACCTTTGATGAGAAAAAAATATACCTTTCTCTGAGACCACAGGTTTCCTGATGATATTGCAAGAACTGAAGTCTAATTGAGTATATCCATCTTCATCCAAATTTTCTATGGAAGAATGGTGTTCCATTGTTCTATTGAGTTCCTGAGTTGCCTCAGCAAACGAGAGCTCTTTCTTCTCTTCTCCGAAGACAACTGCCTGTGGGCAAAAGAGGACCTATGAGTCAAGTCAAGTGGGGGAGGCATTTACTAGGCTTTAACAAGTTGAGCTTAAGCAGTCCAACCAGATACCCAAAAGCAGGAAATGAAAAATATGCTGTGGTAATTTCCCATTGGTACCCTTAGATCCTGTTTCTGAGACTGATGATTCTTAAGAAAATTATAGGGTAGCACAATAGATAGATCTTTGTTTCAGATCAAACATAAGGAAAATGAAACCATTAATGTCTTATGCCGCTTTCATTATTCTCACAACCGAAATGGACATCACTAATTGACTTGGCCTATGTAAACTTAAAACAATTTTGGTCCCTTGAGTTCACCAATACTTTGTTACAACTGTTCATTCATTCATGTACTGCTCTTTGAGTAAACATGTATCAAACGCCCATCTTTTCAATTGACAGGAGATAAAAGGATAAAAGGATAAATGATACCTGTGAAGAAGCTTATTGAGTAAAGGAGGAAACCCACAGATAGGTTCATGAAAGGTACCATAAGGAGGTACATTGTTGTAACAACAGAGAGAGGAAACAAATCTCTTTGGGGCTGGTCAGAGATTTATAATACAAAATAGAAAATTATTTATTCAACAATGACTATGAGCTAATTACCACCTATTGCACGTGTTTTCTTATACAATCTCAGTTTTCCAACAAGTCTCTGTGATAGGCACTATTAGTCCTATTTTCTTTCTTAAGTATAGTTGATTTACAATGTTGTGTTAGTTTCTGGTGTACAGCGAAGTGATTCAGATTTATATTTTTCATATTCTTTTCCTTATGGTTTATTACAAGATATTGAATACAGTTCCCTGTGCTAGACTGTAGGACCTTGTTGTTTAGTCCTACTTTCAAATGACAAAACTGAGACATAGAAATTTCACTCCCTTGCTCAGTTTTAAGAAACTAAGAAAAATAATGAAGAAAAACAAGAAAAATAATGAAGCAAGGAATCAAAGAAAGCTAAGAAAAATAATGAAGCAAGGAATCAAAGCGAAGTCCCCTCTTACTGCAAAACTCATGATCTTTTCTGTTATGCTACCCTGCCCCCTTCACCATTCTGTACACTTATATTGCAAGTAACAGCTTATGGAGAATTCTGGAACTGAATACTATGTTAAATGCTTAATGTTTCCTCTTTGCCAATTTCCACAGAAATACCCAAGTTAATGAGATATGGAAAAACATTTATCATTGCTAGAAACTAGAGGTCTGTTCACAAGACTTCAAAGCAAGCAGAATGGAAGAGACTACTGGCTGCTGTCAAAGATAAAACCAGACACTCATTAAATGTAAACTGATACAGTCTCTATGGAGAACGGTATGGAGGTTCCTTAAAAAACTGAAAAGAGAACTACCATATCACCCAGCAATGCCACTACTGGGCATATACCCTGAGAAAACCATGATTCAAAAAGAGTCATGTACCACAATGTTCACTGCAGCACTATTTACAATGGCCAGGGCATGGAAGCAACCTAAATGTCCATCAACAGATGAATAGATAAAGAAGTTGTGGCACATATACAATGGAATATTACTCAGCCATAAAAAGAAATGAAATTGAGTTATTTGTAGTGAGGTGGATGGACCTAGAGTCTGTCCTACAGAGTGAAGTAAGTCAGAAAGAGAAAAACAAATACCATATGCTAACACATATATATGGAATCTAAGGGAAAAAAAAATGGTTCTGAAGAACCTAGGGGCAGGATAGGAATAAAGATGCAGACATAGAGAATGGACTTGAGGACACGGGGAGGGGGAAGGGTAAGCTGGGACGAAGTGAGAGAGTGGCATGGACATATATGCACTACCAAATGTAAAATAGCTAGCTAGTGGGAAGCAGCCGCATAGCACAGGGAGATCAGCTGGTGCTTTGTGACCACCTAGAGGGGTGGGATAGGGAGGGTGGGAGGGAGACACAAGGTGGAGGGAATATGGGGATATATGTATATGTATAGCTGATTCACTTTGTTATACAGCAGCAACTAACACAGCTTTGTAAAGCAACTATACTCCAATTAAGATGTTAAAAAAAAAAAAAAGTGGTGAGGACAGATTTCCTTCAGTAATACGATTATAACAGAGAGGAGGGCCCAGCATAAACTGAACTCAGCTTCCCCAAAACAAAAGACTAGCAACTTTTGAAAGGCTGGGCTGTGCTAAGGGAAAGGCACTGAGTGGTATTAAGAGGATTAATCCACGTGACTAGACCATGCGGATTTGTTCATTGGTGCTTCTCTGGAAGAAAAACAAGCTTCTTCATCCTTTGGACAGGAGACAGTGTTGCGTATTTTGCACCAAGGTTGTGCCCCACTGAAGCTAGGGCCCTACCCTCCCATGGGGACTGGGAGAGGGCAGGTTATCTCCCTAACTAATTCCCCGTTCGCTTTCAGAGATGGCTCTCAGGACCTTGAGGAAAGTTTTAGGTGGTAGCTTTACACCTCAAAGGGCAGAGAGAGGATTTTATTTTTTTTACTTTTATTTTATTTTACTTTTTTGTGTATGTGTGTTTTTTATTTAACATCTTTATTGGAGTATAATTGCTTTACAGTGGTGTGTTAGTTTCTGCTTTATACAAAGTGAATCAGCTATACGTATACGTATATCCCCATATGTCCTCCCTCTTACATCTCCCTCCCACTTTCCCTATCCCACCCCTCTAGGTGGTCCCAAAGCACCGAGCTGATCTCCCCGTACGACGCAGCTGCTTCCCACTAGCTATCGGTTTTACATTTGGTAGTGTATATATGTCCGTGCCACTCTCTCACGAACAAACAGTAAATTGTCCTGGCAGCAATGAACTTTCTCAGGCAGGCATTTTAAAGGGATCTGGGATCATTCCAGGACACAGCCTTAAACTATTAGAAGCCATGTTAGAGTTTGTCAAATGTCTTAGTGCAAAGGTTTGGACGGAGTTGTTCTGTTCCAAGAGTTCTACAGTTCTCATTAATACATATCAAAATAGAAGAGAGGTCAATGGAAAAAAAAAAATTCACCCTCTTATCTAGCCTGCCACAAAAGTTTTACTAACTTTTCACAGGCACAAAATAGTGGTGTGGGTCTAATCTCGACCTCCATCAGACATCCAGTTCGATAATGCAGCCCTTGGGAAAGCAGAGGAGAGCTGGAAAGAAAGGGATTTTTTTCTCAGAGTGAATAAATTGCTTAAGGAAGAAAGGTCAGTCAACTAAGTAGAACTAGAGAACAGGAATGAAGGGAGCACCTTCTAGGCAGTAATAAAAAGCTATTTACTATTGATTCAGACCCCCCCATGTGCAGTGGGAGAATCTTTATGTAATAACTTTTATTTTCTTTGACTGCCGTCCTCTGTTTAATCACAATCCTACAAAAACAACTGACTCTCTAAGTTGTCAAAGAAAATTTTCAGCGAATGTAAACTTTAGCCTTCTCTTTTGTCCAGGACTAAAACAATTAAACAGTGATTACACAAATCAATGACAAACCGGGAAAAAATAATCCCTCAGCATTTTAAAAGGCAGGAGGGGGAATTCCCTGGTGGTCCAGTGGTTAGGACTCAACACTTTCACTGCAGGAGCTGGGTTCGATCCCTGGTCGGAGAACTAAGATCCCGCAAAAGCAAGCCTCGAGGGGCAGCAAATTTAAAAAAAAAAAAAAAAGATGGCAGGAGGGAGTGGGGAAAGGCAGTTTGCATATTCTGAGAAAAATACCCCTAGTTAAACAGTAATGTAGGAAACAGGTGAAAAACAAACCAATCTAACCAACCAAACAACAAACAAAACCCAGCAAATAAGTTAACTAATTCACATTCTCAGTGAGATTTAATGAAAACTGCATTTATACAGCAAGTTTTTTCTTCAAAGAAAAATGAGAAATCTGAGAAAAGTTCTTAGAAGTGAAAACACATTTTATAAACTAAAAATACAATAAATTGAATCAAGAGTTAGATTGAATATTGCACCAATAACACAACTTAAAGAATTGCACTCAGTACCGTTGAATTAGCCAGTGGTCATGCTCTCATTTCTACATATGTTAAACTGTTGTTAACGGTAGTAATCTAGTTAATCTATCCCTCCCCACTACCCTTCCCTGATAGTAACCATAAGTTCATTCTCTGTTTCTGTTTTGTAAATAAGTTCATTTACACCATTTTTTTTAGATTCCACATATCAGCGATGTCATATGATATTTGTCTTTTTCTGTCTGACTTATTTCACTTAGTATGATAAATTCCAGGTCCATCCATGTTGCTGCAAATGACATTATTTCATTTTTTTAATGGCTGAATAATATTCCATTATATATATATATATATATATATATAT